TTGTCTGCTAATTCTATTATCTATATTGCCTTCTCTTTCTGTTGATTGGTATTTTTCCCAATAACTGATCAACTTATTTTCTTTCTTTAATTTTTATTTATTTATTTATTTATTTATTTATTGTATACAGGGTCTCACTACATAATTCAGACTCCTAGTGTTCCTTCTTTCTCAGCCTCCCAGTACTGAGATTACAGGTGTGTGCCACCACACACAGTTTTGGTGGCTGGCACTGAATACCCGGGGTTCTGGGGCTGGCACAGCATGCGATACTGGGAATCAAACCCAGGTTTACCAGTTTACCAGGCAGGTTCTTAGAGGGCTGAGCTATCTCCCCAGCCCCTTAGTTATTATAACACCTAGTAATTTTTGTATGTATGCTAGAAATTGTGAAATACATATCATCAGTTGATATTTTTTAAATTCTTTTGCAAATTTGTGAGATTTCTTGTTGGATGTAGCCACAATTTTGCAAACAGACCATGATTAAGTTTTTTTCTTTTAGGGTTTTAAAGATTTTTGTGGAAAGTAATTTTTCCCTTCTAGGGACCTTGCCCATAAGATGCCACATGTGTTTAGGGGCTTTCTTCACGGGATGGGACAAACACAAACTATCCCCAGCATTACGTAAAATCTAAGAAGATTTTTACCTCTTCCTTTTGATATTTTTCTTTCTGACCTTGGACAGTTTCTTCAAATAAATGCAATGGCCAGAATTTACATGAAGTCTTAAGAGAAATTTTTGGAAATCACTGGTAAGACATCTCTACGGATTTCTCTTCTCTCCGATCCTCCATAAAGTGAATTACATCCTTCTTGGTCTTTCTACTCCACAAACTCTGTCATTTCATCTCAGGGAGAATGCTGGGCTGTTTGAAGTCCTTTCTCCTGTGCAGTGAGTTAAGATGATTGTATTGATTTTTCAAATGCTTCTCCACAGGCTTTGGACATGTGTCTCCAGGCATCCAGCACAGACTCTGTAGTCTTCCAAAGCAAGCCTTTTTTTTTCCTGATACAGAGTCACATGGGAGTCTCCAAGCCTTTGACTTTTGACTGAATTCACTGGCTCTTCAAAACACAGATAGCCTTTCTTCATTTCTCCATGCTGATTTGACATTGTAGATCTACCCTGTAATATATATTCTGTTCCTCTATTGAATCATAACTGAAACTTTAGGTTTCCTTCTCTGAGGAGTCACTGCTGTATAATGCTTGATACCCAATCCTTTAAATACAGCTCTGCATGTTTGTCCTATTTGCTGGTTGTTTAATGTGTAATGGCATATGTAGTCCTTGATGATTAGAAGAATGTTTTCTGGTTTCTGGAAGAGGCATTTTTTCTGGTGTATCTTTCTATGACCTAGAAGGCATGTAGGTCTCAGTATAAATGAACATTCCTTAACTCAGTCATATAATTAGCAATGACACATCTCTTTGTTTAGTATCATGATAGAAGATTAAAAGGCTAAAAATTGTTCTACTTTCACAATGGGCCAATGCTGTGATTGAATGCTCTTAAACAACAGACATTTAACATCAGATATTTTCCACTATTTTAGAAAGCCCAAGATCAAAATCCAAGCAAATCTAGTTCTCAGTGAGGGCTCTCTTCCTGGCTTGTGTATGGTTCCTACCTTCTTGCTGTACTCTTACATGGCAGAGACAAGAACTCTTGTAGCTCTTCTTCTAGAGCCACTAATTCCATTATAGGGAATTCAAGCTCACAAATTCATCTAAATCAAAGTTACCTGATGATGGTCTTCCCCACTGCACACTGAGAGCTAGGAATTCATTGTATCAATTTGGGCTTAATCTATAACTAAAGACAACTTACTTTATTTCATCCTTGTAACCCGGATCATGATGGTTAAGCAATGTTTCCAGTAGGCTCGATGTCAGATATAATCCATGCTTCCCACAGACAGCCCTCCCCTCTAAATAAGCAAGGACTTGAAGCTTTACTAGAAAGAGCTTGTTATTTGAATTTCCTTTCCATGATCAGATGGCATATGATTTTGACCAATAATTAATACCCAGGAGCACACTATACCATTGAAATATCATTTGAGACAAGAATATTCTGTCGATTACTTATCAACAGCTAATTGCTATTAAGTGGACAGAGGAGTAGAGTTTGTTATTCAGAAGACACTTGGCTCACAAAGGTTTTATTATTTGCTTGTCAGCCATGGGATGTGTGGTCTCAAACAAGGAATTATCTACATTTCACTATAGAGGCAAATCATAAGAAATTTTGTGTCATTTACTCTGATTTACAACACAAGCAAGTTGTATTATCAGAGTTAATATTCTTTGTATCTATATAGTAATGTATATATGAGAAAACAATAATTATATAGTATTTCCCTAATGTCATAGCTAATAAAATATGGAACTTGAAATAGAAACCAGGTAATTAATAAATATTTATCAACTGATCAATTTCTCAAGTGTTTAATATGTTCTGGGCCTAGGGGACAGACTAGTGCATCTGTCACCAGTGGGTGATGTTTGGATTCAAATGTACCATATTTTCAAGAGAGTCAGAATGTATGCTTTTTGTACATAATGGTTACAAAGTAGAATGTATTCAAACAGGCTTTATTTAATCTTTATGTGTCCAATTATTTCATTTATTAAATGAGACTAGAACTTTCTAACTCTCAGCATTCTGTAAAGATGATGTGATAAAATAAGTATTTAGAAAGAAGCCTAGCTCTTATGAAGCACTTGAATGAATATTAAATTTTGAAATGAAGAAAGGGAGGAAAACTTGGACAGCATCAGAGTGGGACCAGCTGCAGGAACCTCCAGCAGACAGACACTCTGTGGAGCCCTGTAGGCAGAACTCCCTGCAGAGAGGCTATGGGCAAGACCCAGCCAGCTAATTTAGGAGCAGAACATCTTGCCAGTGGGGCACAGCAGGTTCACCTCCACAGGCTGCAGCAGGAAGAAGGTGTGCACAGTGGCCAGATCCAAGCCAGGCCCAGCTGGATGAGTTTGAAAGTGGCAGATGTGGACCCAGTAAGCTGCGGCATACTGCTGGACCCAGACCTACAAGAGCACCCCCCCTCTCTTAATTGAGAGAGGGGGGAAAAAGGTAACTGGGTGAATTACTCTGCCTGGAAGACTCCAGGTACATCAAGGGGTGGTGATAGGATGGAACTTAGGGGAGCTAATTTAAATACAAATTCCCAATTTAAT